GGGACACGTGGAATTTTGGTTGTAGAATTAAATCTCTCTTGAATTTGGTCAATGGTGCTTCAGTTTGGCACTAATGGAAGTCGGTTGGGTTAAAAAAAAGGCGAAAGATAGTACAATTTTTAGAAGAATAGAAGCTTGAATTTTTTTAATTTTCGGGCACGTAGGAATGCTATTTCTGTTCCCTTCAATACTGTAAAAGGTGTACTTAAAAAGGGCAAGTCGTCTTTGAGATATGTGAAAATAGAAGATGTTATTTCAAAGCTCTATGCACTCGAACGTGAAGTTCCCAATGGACACCAGGTCTTGTATTGTTTAGAGAGAGAAAGTGAAGCTCTATGCACCCGAGCTTAATAGACACCAGAAACTCGTATTGTTTAGAGAGAGAAATAGAGGCTCTATGCACTTGAGTTTGAAAAAAAATTTCATTATCTTTTTACTTTTCAAAAATAAAATTATTATTTAATTTTTTTAGGATCTATTCTCACATAGGAGAATTGTTTCGGTTCACTTATCTGGATTGTTAATTCATCAATCTGGACCGAGTTTTTTGGATTGTTGATTCACCAATCCGATCTTTGAAACATTAATTAAATTCAAACAATTCAAAATAAATATGATGAAAGAATTCCTCAACTCCATTGGTTCCCACCACTTAAAATACAAAAGGAGAGCATAAATTGGTCCATGGTCTTTGATGGACCGTGATGGGGAGTATGGGATCCATCTTTGGGATTATGTCTAACTCTGGTGGGACTTACGGTGGAGACGTTTAACATACAGTGAAAGTACCTCTTCTCTTCTTTCAGAGCGCGTTCGCTTCGACGACTTCACAGTATGTTATAATCATGATGACCGTGAAAATTAATCATCTACGGCCAAGATGGCGCTGGAGAGAGAAAGGTGTCTACTGTAAATTGCATCCCTGTCGCCATCGCCGTCCCACTCGTGAATACAATGGTGACAACCCTAATGACGACGGATCTCCGGTGGATTTTTGGCTTTTAGTATTTTTTTATGTGATTTTAATTTTTTATCAAGCAATGAAGGGCCTTGATACTCTCAACTCTCAAGGACGACGGACCAATAAATGGGTTGGAACGATTTAAAATGAGTAGAATATTAAATAGTTGATAAGTTGGTATATCTATCTTAAATAATCTAAAGTTGTAGTTTCCATGTCGAATACCTTATGATGACCTAGAACTTTTAATTATAAAACTTAATATTTCAAAAATGATGCAGATCGAATAGAGATTTATAAATATTTAAAGATCTTGAAAATAGATCGTTTCGATGATACGTTACAAAATACATTATTTTTAAGATTTAATTTTTTTTTTTTCGTAACCATATATTTTAATATCGAGATAATCAATTGGAAAGCTTTTCAGCTTTGAAACAATATGTCCTGGTAGATTTTTGAAATTATTGCTACCATGTGTGATTGACACCTACACTGAAGTTCTTTTTGAGAAATTTTAAGATGCACTAGCATGGATTTCCCCCAAAATATTTGATCCTTCACCATTTTTAAGCCTGCTTATTTAAAAATGACTGCACCTAGCAGCTGAAAAGGAAAAGCATGGAAACAAATTATGTTTTTACCCCTCGTCTAGAATTGTGTGGCCCTAATAAATGTAAAGGATGGGGCTTAATACACCTCGTCCAACAACTCTACCTCACACCCATCTCTTTCTAAACAAGACATTTTTTCAGCTACCTTGGATGGGACGATGAATTTCCTAGGGAAGCCTTCCTATTTGGCCTCTTTGGCCGAAAAAGTCGAAGCCTTTGGATTTTAGGCTTAGATCGAAACGAAGCGAAACCTGATGTTGCTGTTTCAGTTAAATTTCGTCAGATTCGGGTTGGCTTCAAGCCGAATTGGTTGAAGCTTATGCCTCTTCGACCTAAACAAAGAAATATCTATATAAAAATAATTTTTAATTTTTTTAATTTTAAATTTTAAATTTTTCATTATACTTATATATATATATATGAGAAAAGTTTATATAGAGCTGAGGCTCTAAACAATCAAATTTGAGCCTACATCAAAACTTTCACTAGAAGAGGTTGTTTTGATTCCCAAATATCTTCAAATCAATCATCTCGACATCAATATGCATGGACATGAGAAAAAAATGGATTTCAAGTTTTGAAAATAATGTATTTTGTAACACATTTTTTGGACCATCAATTTTCAAGATTTTTAAGTTTTCATAGATCTGTTGATCTATACTATTTTTTGAAGCTTTAAAATTTATAAGTAAATATGAATATATATTTTAAGACTATCACAAAGATTTCCAAAATTAAAACCCTATTTATCGACACTATTTGAAGGTAGGCTCTAATTTGATTATTTAGAGCCTATGCTCTATACAAACCGGACCTTATTTATATATATAAATATCTAATTATTTATATTAAATTTTTAAAAGTCCAAAGTCTTTTCTCGAATCGAAAAAGCACCAAATTGTTTCATTTTTCTCACCAAACCGTAGAAGACTCCGAAACAAATCTAATAACATTGTTTTCTACAGCCTCTTCAGACCACACTTCTCTCCTGAGGATTACAGAAGAAACTTATTTTGGCCCTAGTTCATTTAGATTAAAAAATATGTGGCTGAGAGAAAAGATCCTCCACAATATTGTTTGAAACCATTGGGCAACTACTCATGGCTTGGGTTGGGAAGGACATAGCCACCTTAAAAAGCTTCAACTCCTAAAGTATAAAATCAAGTAGTGGCATCATGATACCCTCTATACCAATTTTGAGGCTATAAATTCAACCCTAGTACATTTACGACAATTGGATGATTTTGAACAACGGAATGGGGGGCTAATATATACTAAAAAAGGCCTTAAGATACAACTGAATGCATCTTTACAAGAAAGCTTGTTAAAGGAAGAAATTTGTTGGAAACAAAGATCCAGAATTCCAGGGCTTTAAGAGGGTAATAGAAAAACCAAATTCTTCCATAAAACCGCAAATGTCAAAAAAAAGAGCAAATTCCTTACAAGGCCTTAATTGTCCTAATGTTGATTGCAACTATACATTGCAATGAAGAATTCACATACATTAAAATACCTTATCTTCACATTTCTTAAGTTCCTTTCAAAAGGTTAGCCCTCGATCTGGCCTCCTGTTTGGAAATACCATTCACTATGGAAGAGGCCAAATTTGTAGTATTTGGTCTTGTGGGGGGAAAGGCTCCAGGACCACATGAGTTCACCATGAATTTCTTCCATTACTGTTGGGAACTCCTTGAAGAAGATGCTTTCAACATTCTTATTGAATTTCACTCAAGAGGAAAGATCAGTTAGGCTATGAATTCAACCTTCTTGGCTTTAATACCTAAGAGAAGCACAATTGAAAGCTTAAGAGACATTAGACCTATCAGCTTCCTTGGAAGCCTTCACAAAATAATAGCCAATGTTCTTGCTAATAAGCATCCCAATGTCCCTCATTCTCTTATTTGTCAACCTCAAGCTAAAGGCAAATTATAGAATCTATCTTTCTTGCTTAACAATGCATTTACTCAAGGAAGAAGGATACTTTACTAGGGATTTTCTGTAAGCTAGATTTCGAAGAAGCTAGCTTAGGACAGTGTTGTCTGGGACTGCTATATGATGGTTTTATGGGCTTTGTTTGGGACTGCTATATGATGGTTTTATGGGCTTTAGATCAAGGTGAAGTTTTATGGGCTTTAGATCAAGGTGGAGAATTTTGATTTATGGTTGTTTATCTTCTACACATTGTTTAGGTCTCATTAATGGCAAAAAGTTTTGGTTTTGTTTAGGGCTTCTAGAGGCTTCTAGAGACATTAGTCAAGGAGAAGCCCTTATCTTCACCCTTGTGAGGTGATTGCTCTGCGAAAATGCACTCTTCTGTTTATTAAGAAGGGCCTAATTTCGGGTTTTAAAGTCTCCCCTAAGGGCCATGTCATTAGCCACCTCTAGTATGCGGAGAACACAATCATATTTTACGACACTCAGGAGTCTTAGATGAGGAATCTTTGGCTTTTCTTAAAATGGTTTGAGCTGGCTTCAGGTATGAAGATTAATCTGTAGAAAACAAAACTATGTGAGATATTATATACAAATCAAAGGCTTTTGGAGAAAGGGGTCTCCTACGCATAGTAGTTTAGCGAGAAATAAAAAGCTTTATGTCTTTTGCTAGTTCAACAAGAAAGGGGTCTCCTAAATGTGAATATCTGACTGCTCTATTTATTCATAGGATGTTCTAATTTTTTGGTAAAGGATTGTCTACAACAAGACCATTTATCTTTTTTACGTGGAGGTCACAATTATTATTGTTCCTTAAATTTCAAAATAGGTAGTGGTAAGAGTGTCTTTTAATAGACACGAAGTTTCAAAAAAAAATATTCTCAAAATGTGTGACTCACCCCAAGCCCATCAAATCTGAAATCTAATGAGTGGGAATAATTGTCACATCTATGTACAAAAGATAAATGGTCTCTTTATAGACAAGCTCTTTGGGTAAAGGTAGAATATGCACCGAACTTCTCTATTTTTTACTAGGTTGAGCAGGTCGCATCCCAATGGGTTCCTAAAATTCTCCTAGCTGCATTTCACCCAAGAATGGAGGAGTAAACATACATTTTACTCCCCCAGGTGCAGAAAATTTTTTCACTTGGGACTTTATGGACAGGAGTATATTGATTTCTTAGGATTTTACTACACAAATGTGATCATATGGACCAATTTTCACCATAGTCGGGACCTTTACAATCATTAAAGCCCACTAGTGCTCCCATTTCTCAAGCCTTTTGGCCCCTAGCAAAGAGGTAAAGTTCAAATTGGTGCCTTATCAGCAACTGAAAGGCCAAACTGAGGTCAGTAACAAAAGCATGATTGGAACACTGAATAAGACAACAGAGAGCAGAAAATAAATTCAAATGGTCAGGACCACTAGAGCTACCTTAGCTATCCAATTTGAGTTGTTGAAATTCCAATTCAATTTCATTTCAACTACCTCCTTTCACTTAAATGAAGGAGAAATTTTCATTGATAAAAATTCATAATCCCCTACAAAAGAAACATTTTGAAGGGTATCTAAACCCTTTTTTATTTGTTAGCTTTTCACAAGGGAAATAATTAACTGCTCAATGAATGTCCTTTAAACCAGTTCTAATTGCATTGTCCTGTAACTCCACATGGCCTATAACTCAATGCATAGTTCTAAAATTCCACAAAGAGAGTGTGAGCAAAGGAGTATGAGAAAGAAAGATCACTGATGCATCATATTAGGGGGCACTGGGTATGCCACCGGAACGATGTACGGGGGTGCACCATAGCCAGGCGGTGGAGGTATGATAACAGGGGTCCCGACTGCCGCCGGAACTATATGTGGATAATGACCACCCATCATTGACGCTCCGCCACGCACCACACCTGAATTGTGCAATGGATGCTTATTCGTTGTCCCAATTGATGATCCACTCTGGCCCGTGATAGGACCATGTGGCGAAGATACACCACTTGTGTTCACACTGGTTATATCGTGTATGCTCGATCTCCTCCTATCTCTATTCATGGAATTGAGCCTTATAAAGTATTTTTGGGCATGGCTAGCAACTTGGGTTGGAGTTCTCGTTATCACATAGTTTCTTGATATGCTTCTCCAATCTCCCTTTCCAAATTTGTCAAGGCCAAGCAGAAAGAGCCTGTGTGCAAAAACATGAAGTTAATGTAGATTGAAGAAGAACTATATGCTTTTTAAAAGAGATGGAGAAAACTTTGAGGCTTAACTGGACTCTCCATAGTGAGTTAAAGGCCCTTGTTTTGAGGAAAACTTGAGGCTTAACTGGACTCTTGAAGGCCCATGTTTTGAAGGTGAATTGTTAGAGTGATGGGCAAATGAATCTATGAAAGTGAATAGAACAATGTTTTTGAGGCAAGGAATTGCAGAGAGAGATGGGGAGGTGGGCTGTTGTTTATCATAGAACATAGAGACATGAGTGGGAATGTAAGGCAGATGGGCAAGTGAGACCCATGTTTCTGAAGACGAGATTTTAGAAAAATGTGAAAGATTGGGCTGAATTATGCAGCAATTTAAAAATCGGAATAGTATAACTCGGGACCTAGATCCAACTAGGGAGATTCTGAGTCAGACTGACGATTTTAAATCACTGGAATTGGGATGTTATTCAATGGAATCCACATTGTACACAACGAGATCTAGAGGATTGAAAACTGAAGCTGAATTCCATCAAATTAGAAAGAAAGACCGCTTCTAAACACCCTTTTAGATTTTTGTTTTTGGTAAATATAAGACGCTATTGTTCGCGAAACGTTGGATAATCCTCGCTGGTTCAAACTCTTGAATTCCCTCACCCAAAACTAATATGTCTACCACTGAGCCGGGGCCTAGCCACTGAGCCGGGGCCTAGCGGGTTGGCTTTCGAGACAAACTTCAAGAGTTCAAACCCTTTAACTTCTTCGTGATATGTCTACCACTAAGCCGAATCCTAAAGAACATCATTACAGTAGCTGCACTAAACCAGACAGAATTGAGACAGAGAGAGAATACCATTTAAAAGAGAGAGAGTACCTGTGCTCCTCCTCTGTCCAAGGGGTGCCTTTTTTCCTCTCCTGCTCAGCTTTCGAAGCTCCCTTGGGCAACCCATTTGTCTCCCCCATGAAATTCGAATACAGAGAGCCACCACTGAGTGCCCCTTTCTTCGCCACCCCTCCATTCTCAAAAGCTCGAAGCTCAGTAAAATCATCAGAAGCATAACAGGGGATTGGCACCTTTCCACTCTCTATCGAATTCACATCTTCGATCAAGAGATCGTAATGCTTCTTCACCTCTTCCACGGTTTTCCCAGGAAGCGTTTGAGCAATCTTTTCCCATCTATGTATGGTGTCCTCTGAGTACTCTGCAAGTCCTCTTTCAAAGGTCTTCTCCTCCTCTCTACTCCAACCACCCACCATTTATTCATTATTTTCCCACTGCTTCTTCATTAGAGAGAGGGGAGAGCACTGTATCTTCACTATTATCCACTTCTTATAGGACCTACTCAAAATTTCCTTCAACCCATATCAGAAAAGAGCGAGAGAGTCGATTTCATCACAATCATCCACTTGTAAGAAAACCAAATTCAATTCCTCATCTCGTATCAGAGCAATAATGGGGGGAGAGAGAGACCACTACAGGTTCATTATTCTCCTCCTCTCACAAAAACTATTCCAGTTCTTCAACCCATATGAGAGAGAGAGACAGAGCCAGTCTTTAAAAATATCCACTTCTCACGAAACCCAATCCATTTCTCCTGTCCATATCACAGAGAGAGAGAGAGAGAGAGAAGATACTGTGAAATGTCATCTCCATCTCGTGACATGCTCTCTCACTAGCTTCACTCACAATCATGGAGAGAGAGAGAGAGAGGAAATGGTGAGGACAGGAAGCAATGGCGAAAGAAGAGTGGCCCCTCCTCAAAGGGCGGAGAGACGTGGCCCCTTCGCCATTACTCCTTTTTTTCCATCCCCTCTCTTCCCTTCTTTGTATTTTTCCGTCACCACGGCCTTCAAACAAAAAAGGGGTAGAATCTCTCTCACCTCCAAAAACAAAGTAAAAGAATCTCTCTTTCTCTCTCTTCATGAAAGAATGACTTTCTCTCTCCACCCGGGCCCCATGGCAGCAGGTAAAACAAAGGCCATTTACTTTGATTTGATGCAGCACCAGTACAAAAGTTGAGAACAGGAGCGTTACCGTTCAAAAAAAAACAGTAACGTTGCCCCCTTCTCTCTCCGATTTACTTCTCTCTCTAAAAAGAATAGTACTCCTCTCTCCTATTTACTTCTCTCTCTAAAGAATATGGCTCCTCTAATCATTAGGCAGGAAAGAAACACAGCGGATGCGATACTAGGCTTCCCAACGCAGAAAAGAGGGTGCATTGCTCTGTAATTTTTTATTTTTTTGCTCGATACTAGACTCATGTTGTGCTACTACCATTACTTCAACCCCATTTAGAAATCTAGACAAGTAATTTATGATGCAGATTGAAAAAAATTAATGAAAATCAAAAAATTTACGATGCAAGAAGTAAAAATAATTACAATAAAAAAAAAAACAAAAGATGAAAATTCATACCTCTCAGAGTCGAGTATGCAAGGGAATTTACCCCCCAACGAGATAATAATACTCAATTACTGTTCTTTGCTTTACAAAAGAAGTTAAATCTCCCTTTAAATAAACATTACAAGGAAAAAAAAAAGACCCATTAATATAATTCTTTTTCTTCTATGTACTTTCCCTGTTTTATCTCTCCTCTATATTTTTTCTCGTACTTTTTCTCTCCCTCACGTGCCATCCCAATTTTATCTCTTTCTAACTTCAACATTAGCCTTTCTAAGGCTAAAAGAAACTACCACCTATTATTTCCTAATTCAAAAGATCTTACCTTATCTATATGTTATTCCCTTAACTAAAAAGATAAACCATCCCATATTCAAGATCCCCTTAGCTTATCTCTTCCTATCCCTAATTAAAAATAAATAAACTCTAATTTTATTTGCATCAATTTATGACCTAAAACACATTTTAAAGGATGTATTTTTGTATTAAGGTTTCATCCTTAAGCAGGCCTCACCTCCAAATTTTAACATAGATGTAATTTTGAAGTAAAAATTTATTAGGACGGCGTGAGAATCCATTTTAACTTTAATTATAAAATTTTAAGAGAAAATATCTCCATATCTTCTATTTTTAGATTTTATTTCTTAATAAATCCAATGTTTCAAAAGGATGGCTTGAGAATCTATTTTTATATTTAATTATAAAATTTTAAGAGAAAATATATCCATATTCCTTATTTTTAAATTTTATTTCTTAATAAACCCAAGCTTTCAAAAAATATCTTCCAACCCTTCTTCTTAAATGAGTCAGGTATAACGAACCGAACTTGTCTCCACATTGAATCAAGAACAAGATAAAACTGCTACGAGCTTGGTGGTCTTTCCTCTCCCAGGCGAAAGAAAGAGGAAAGAGAGCGCGATCTAGGAGAGGGAGACTGCTACGAGCTTGGTCTTTCCTCTTCCCGACGAAAGAAAGAGGAAAGAGAGCGCGATCAAGGAGAGGAAGAAAGAGGAAAGAGAGCGTGATCAAGGAGAGGGAGAAACAGGAAAGAGAGCGCGATCAAGGAGAGGGAGATTGGCATACTATCGAAAAGCTGGCTTTTTATTCTGGCCACTTTAAACCTATTTTTTAACCTAAAAAATTGTGAGAAATACATGCTCTTTCTAAACTCAATCTCTTCTCTCTTCATTTATATATCAGGAAAAGTTTCTATACTTCCCCTATAATATAAATTATACCGGGAAAAGTTTCTATACTTCCCCTACAATATAGAAGAACTATGCTTCCCTTACCATCCAGCTCTCTAATTTTGATCAAGAGAGCTATTCATCGTTTGATCTTAGATCTGACATCTCAAAGTATTTTATTTTTAGTTTTTTTTATACAAATTGTATGAATATGAAATTTACTACATGCTATCTCCTCATTGGAGCGCACCTATAAAAAATATTAAAAATAATTTTTTTGATAAAATATAAATTTTCAGCGGTATTTTGGTTATTTTATTTTATTGAAAATATCTTTTTTATATTTTTCACTAGTGCTAGTTTAATAGAGGATTGGACGTCCAAAATTTAATGTCAAAATAGTTTACAGAATAAAAATAAAAATAAAATAGTGTAGAGAGAGTGAGGGGTAGAGATGGAAAAGATGGAGAGAGAGAAGAGGAGCAAGAGGAGAGAGTGAGGGGTAGAGATGGGAAACATGGAAACAGAGAGAAGGGGTGTGGGGAGAGAGAAAGATAGATAACTTTGGGATGATGACTTTTAAAAAAGGCATGTCTTTTAGACTTATTTGGGGTAAAAATACAAGTTTAAAGTAGAAGGGGTTGGAACAAATAAAATCTACAATTTTTATGCCCTAATATATCTTTTAAAATCTTGGGTCTATTGCGAAATGAAACCTACAAATAGGGGGTATCGAGATATTTTTCTAAATTTTAAACTCAAAAAAAGCTTCAAATGATCTATTTTTATCTTTAATTATAAAATTTTAAACCAAAAAAATGCTTCAAGTAGATTTATAAACATAAGAAAATCTTGAAAATGGACAATCTAGATAATGTGTTGCAAGGTGCACTATTTTTTGGACTTAAATTTTCTTTTTGTTTTTATATTCATATATCTCGATGTCGAGATGATCAATTAGAAGTTTTTCCAACATCAAAACAACTTTTTCCCATGATTTTTGAGGTGCACCGTATTCTACATTTAAGGTTGCAATCTTATATAAAAATCTTCCCATTTTAAATTAGAACAATTTATATTTGGACACAAAAATTAATAGGAAAATACTGAAAGATCTATTTTTAGCAAAAATTATACTGAGGATTATCTCTGCAATTATTTTTTTCAAGTTTGCCATTTTGTCCCATGTTACCAACATCATACCAGTTTTATTTTTTTGTTTTCTCAAATAACAGGGCCGTGATCTAAGGTTTAGGGAAAATTTGGAGCAGGTCAATGTTATTATTGTAGGACCGCCATAAAATTTAGCCTAGTCCAATGTCACAATCATTGGACCGGCCGATTAATTGAGTTCCAGTATTCTAGCGCACAATTCGAAACCAATATTGGCTTCACCCCAAAAACTTACTCTCTATCACATAAGTTATAACAATATGGCTTCACCCCAAGGACTCCACTTTCTCTCTCTCAACGTAATTAGTGGTTTAGGGCCTAGATCTTGACTGAGGCACAATGAAAACATATGCAACACAACTCTAATCTTCTTCTTCTTCACTTTCTTTTTTTTTTTTTGGAGTAATAGGAATTGAACTTTTGAAGCAATTGAGATTAAGAACCCTGCATACATAGAGAAATATTTCGAATGGATATGGTTGAACACATAATTTGTAACCAATATGGCTTCATCCCAAAGACAGTAATCAACATTGGAGGGAATAATCATGTAACAAGGGTTAGTCAGTTCAGCAAGGCCATTTTGTTGGGGTGTGTAAAGAATTCAGATTTTGTGTATAATGCCCTATACATTACAAAACTTCTCAAACTCATCAGACATATACTCTCCTCTCCTATCATTCTTTAACATCTTGTTTTTTCTACAGAATTGGTTTTCAACTTCTTATTTATGTTGAGCAAATTTTGAAAGGGCTTCTTACTTCGATCATAAGAAGTAAACAACAGTATATATATTAACTAAAAATTGTTTATAGAATTACTACTTATGTGGGACATTAGTATCTTTGAATACCAAATATCTCAGTCCAAATATACTATGAGATTTTAGTACCTATAAATACAAATATCCCATGTAGGTAGTATTCCTAAAATCAGTCTTCAAAAATATTGGCGCTTATAGTTGCTTAATGAGATATTTGTGTTCCAAAGCACCAGTATACATAAAGTGAGGGTTTTTTCTTTTTTGAGAGAGCAGTAGGGAAAGGATCATCTGCTCATGAAAAGCATAAAACTTAAGAAGTCATGTTGTGACATCTACCACTCTAACCACCTATGTCTTGAGTCTTAAAATGCCAATATCTTATGAAATGTTGTGAAATGTCACACTCCCGTGAGACATTGGCACTAAAAATAACTATACCTCACAAGGCAACTTAGTGAGATTGGTTTTGAAAATACCAAATTTATAGTACTTTGCTTGGTGAGATATCTGTACCCAAAAATACCAATATCTCATAGTGCATTGAAAGAGATGGACACCTGTCATGAAAATAAGAAAGGATCCTAATTCTATAGAACGTAATAGCTAAACATACTATATTTAAGGTATATTTAAGTGTAGAGAGAGTGTGAAAGAGAGAGAGTATGCATTTTCTTAAGAATGAAAATTTTAGGAAGCCAATTAAAATAGCTACGTGGCTTGATTGATGTTTCCTAACCTAGCCTTTCTCCCCAAAGTTTTAGAGAAAGAGATAGGTACGTAGAGTTAATATAGTGAGAGAGTATTTGTCCAAATCTTTAGGAAGAGATTGGCACGTGAAAATAAGATGGGATCCTAAAAATATTAAAAACAATCCACATTTGTTTTGACGAATGGAAACAACCCATATCACAATATCATTTTTTTTTATCTCTTCTTGATATACTTAAATGGAAAAATATTAGAAAACATATTTAAAAAGCTTTTTCCAGGTGTAGCCTATATCTTCCTTGATATAATGGCAATAGAAACCATTACATTTTCCATTAAATGTGAGAGAAGCGTGTAATAGAGATAAAGATAGAGATGGGGAGAGATTTTAGAAGGAGAAATATGAAGAGAAAATTGTGGAGATAAAGAGAACAAATTTAAAAAAAGAAAGAAATAGAAAGTAAATCTCCAATATTATCAAAAAGATTTTGTTATGGAGAGAATACAAATAAAGATGGAGATAGAGAGAGATTTAAGAGAGAGAGAGAGAGAGTTTCATCACCAAGAGAGAGAGACGTGCATAGATCCTCCAATTTTTTCTAGAACTTTGCAGTAGAGGTACTCTTCGCTGAATATTCTCTATCTTTGCATTCTTTGCTGAATAATCTCTTTGCAGTAGAGTTTTTTTTTTTTAGTATTTCCTATAATCAGATATGTATGGCATAGAGATTTTCTCGAATATTTTTTAGAACCAGGTACATGTTGCAGTAGAGGTTTTGTTTTTGTTGAATAGTCTCTTTGCAGTAGAGGTTATTTGAATTTATTTAAGGCTTAAGCGTGCATACCTTAAAGTCAATGTTTTTACTTTTCTGTCTTTAGATTATTTTCCCTCAATTCTCAGGAGGTACACTTTTTTTTTAAAAAAAAAAAAATTTCATAGAATTTTATACAAGCCATATGACTTGATGAGTTCTATGGTTTATATACATGATTAAGGGCCTATGTAGATTGTTTAATTTCATTTTTCTCATATATTGTTGATCATTGTTTGAGTTTTAACGCTTGCACTTTGTATGATTAGTGCATTGAAAAATGTTTTTCATAATTTTTTTAAATATTTATTATTCTTTATCCTTTAATAGAGTAGAATGGCGGACTAGAATTCATGTAGTCAACCCCAATTAAATTGGAAAAAAGCTATGATAATGATGATTTTTATTATTCCTTATGTATGTCATATTAATAACGCCGTAGGTGCATGGTTCTTTATTTTCCTATTTTTGTGGAATTATTTAGTGAAAATAAACATCCAGCAAAAATAGAAAAAGAGAAAAGTAAAAAGGATTAATGTCTTTTAATTAATTGTTTCTTCAATAAATCTAACAATGCATATCTTTGCTACTTCCGTTATTTTTGAGTTTTTGATTTTTCATGATTTTATGGTTCATGATCGTTTATTGTCATATCAATATATTTTTACGTGGTATATTTGTGATTGGTTGTGTGAATGTACATTGCATTTACATATTCTCTACATTATATATTTACGCAATTATTTACGTGATAGCTTTATTCATTTTTTATGTGCAACTCATTTATGCAACCCACATAATTTCACTAGATTTATTCATTTTTAATATTTTTTAGAAAGTGAGTACACAATTTTAGAGAGATAAATAATGATAAGCTTTGATGATAGGCATGAATACATTCAAGAGATACGCCCAAATTTTGCACATGTGACCTCTTGAATATAGAGGTCGACCTCAAAGATGAAAATTTTCAAATTGCATGTTTTATAAAAATAGATGATATTTTGAACCCTTTTATTATGGAGATGGAATTTTTTTGTAAAAATTATGGGAATACCACCCACCCGTGGCGTTTTTTATTTTTTCAAAATTGCCCATCTTTCCAATGTTTCCAACCTAGTGTAATGCATAAAATTTTATTTTTCTCTTACTCAAGCTTGTTTGATATTTGATGTTCAAAGAGATCTATTAATCAAAATTTGATTAATCATGAATCACCTCTTAGATAATAAGAAAAGTTTAACTACAATAATATTGAGAAGTTGTTATAATTAAAAAGAAAAATTAAACAAATTTTATTATTTGTTACAATAGTTTTGAAAACAAGTGATACAACTTTCAAACGGTTTGGTATTTAATAAATACTTCAATCTTTATATTATAAAAGCTATTATGTGCATGCATGTGCATGACATTTAGAAGTATAAGAATTCAACAAAAAATAAAATTCTTTTAACTTGATTTTATAACTTGATATTATAATAAAAAAGAAAGCATGCATATATGTGTATGTGTGCATAAATTTGTTGAAGAAACTCTACTGTAAGTCACTGGGCTCACATGAACATATATGCTCATATGAGTTAGTGAGCTAATCTCAGCATTTTCATATATATATACAAAAGTAGAGGAACCCTAGACCCTTGCCCTAAGTCTTTAAATACAATTGCATTTCCCTCTTACCATCACTCTAAGGCTGGCTAGGTTTCATAAGAATATCATACTCTAAGGCTCATGTCTTATGGCATCCAAGATATCACCAACATTTTCTTAGGTTTCATAAGGGTATCCTAAGGCTCATGGCATCCAAGATTTCAATGGTATAGGCAGTATGCCCTTGGTTTGTTCCTCTCTCTCTCTACTTGTCCTTGTGGATGCGCTTGGTTTGTTCCTCTCTCTTTTTTCGACACACATACATACGTGTGTAGACAAATACAGACACATTTGTTTTCTTGTCTAGTGTATACACATACTCTCTTTTTATTTATCGAGCCACAATTAATGCATATCATTGATTGATGGCTCACCTGCCGCCATTCCATCAAAATCAAAGAGATAAATTATATGCTCTTTTGGGGATACATAAAAAGCTAGGTCCATTGAATTTACAGAAAAGAGCTGAATTTAAGAAAAGAGCTCTTAACGTATATATTATGTGCATAAGGGTAGAGACACAAAGTGAAAACAATGGAAGTAGAAAGATGCTTGAGGATTGTACGTACTTAAGGTCATGAAAAATAAGCCAGACTGACTGTGGTGCCCAATGCAATGGGCTGCACAAATCCCCACTTTATTAGGGTCAGACCAAAAGTGATTGAGTATTTCATGAATTAAAAAATTGTGGGTAAAAATAATGGTACGCCGGGAATCTAGAAGCAAGGAGGAGGAGGATTAGGTTGAGAGTGAGAGAGAGTTTTCAGTCATGGTAGCAGATGAGCATGACAACACATCTCCTGATGATGTAGAGCCTGGCCCTCTGCTCTCTCAAAACTCCTCCCCTGCTCGACCACCTTCTCTTTGGCATCTGATGAGCCTCCATCTTCATAACACTTCACTCTTTCTCTCTCTAAAAACTAGAGAAATAGACTTCTTTCTCCTCCTCCAATGGCTTCTGATTTCGTGGTTCTTAGCCTTGAAATGGGGTTCAATTTAAAGGGTTATATAGAGAGAGTGGGAGGACATGGAAGAGGCAGTGGTCGAGTAAAGCGCAGGCAAGAGGAGCGTCTCTACCACTAACACACTCGTCAATCAGAGAGAGAGAGAGAGAGAGAGAGGAAGAAGAAGACAAGGGAGAGCTGGCTCTGGCCTCCTCTACATCCCGCAACTGTACCCACCCTGCTTCCCACTATACACGTACAGAAAGAACCCAATACTCAGTCATCTTTGATAGATGATAGGAGCCTCAACACATATAGAGAGAGAAGGGGAGCACAACCAACCACGGTTTCTTTTGCTGGGTGATCCTAGAACCAAGTAATCGTCTGGAGAGAGAGATACTGTGTTTTATGACGTGGAGTGGTGAGTGAATAGGTGTGGCAATGGCGGGACACGGACCCGATCCGTCGGGTCTAAAAGTTGGATCCATGCCTCTACCCATCCGGTCTTGGATCTGTCCAATCAATCAGGTCCACCTTCATTATGAGTTTTCCATTTTTTTACTATCATATACCTATATTTTTAGCGATAAGTTCACAATCACCGATCATTAAATTTCAAGCCGTCTGATTTGTTGTTAAAGATAACTACGAGCTCCTGTTGTATACGATCGTTAATACACTTAAATGAATAGAGCTTAAAACATTTTATTTCCAACAGTTTACTAGTACAAGTCCGGTCCAACCGGATGGTATTCGGATCCAAGTTTTGGACGTGGAACTGACCCACTAGGTCTAAATATTTAACCCATACCCAGACACAAGTTAGGACCTGAGTCGGGTCCAAGTCCATTGCCACCCTAAAGACGAAATGTCAGGAGGATATAATAGTAAAATAATAAGTGAGGGAGCACCGCCAAGAGGTAGGCGACATTGCCCAAGTCTTATTGCTCGGTGGGAAGGCAATGGGTCCTTGTGCATGGACCTAAGATATCATGTACTCTTTTTTTTTTTGGTTGAGCCAGCGGGAAGAGGGCCCCTATTATTGTTCTTTTTTAACCTCTTTGGGACGGTAATTGATTTCCAAAAAAGCGCGGCCATTACCTTTTGGATACAGGAGACAACGTTACAAATTGTCAAGAGCTGATCAATTACGTCGAGTTTTTTTTTTTCCTTTTTTTTTATTCAATTAAGCTCGAGTTCTTCTTTCTTTTTTTTTCAATTAAACTCAAGTTCTTCTTTCTTTCTTTTTTGTTTTTTTGATAAGTAAAAGTGACAAGTCAATGGAGATTTGAACTTCTACCCTTTCGTGAGAATTGAATCAGAGATCTCATAAAAAAGTGGTGAAGTCAATGGGGATTTGAGCCTACCCATTCGTAAAAATTGAGTCAGAGATCTTGCCATAAAACTCGACAATACTATCGCCATTCTCAAAAGGATAATACCAGTTCTTTTTCTTAAATATTAAGCAATTAAATGGGAGAGAGGAATAACTACATGCTTCTAGAGAGAGACAGGGTGTATGTTTCTAGAGAGAGGGGTAAAGGTGTGAGGAACATGCTTCTTTTTAGAGAGAGCTTGTTTAAATTAGAGATATTGAGAGTGAGATTGTTTTGAAGATGAGAGAGAGAGAGATTGTTTTGATGAGAGAGAGAGGTGGGGGACAGCGAAGATGTGAGGGATTGATGATAAGGTAGGGGCTGTACGTCGCATAAAAAGTTAGCAGATCCTCTCACCATTTTCCACATCTATCAAACAAAACCGGGTGTGGGATGCCGCTCTCTCTCTACGCTGACACCGGTTCTCTCTCAAGTGGAGCGATAGAAGCATCTAGCAAAGCGCAATCTCTCTTCTTAAAATTAACACTCTCTCTCTCTCTCTCTGATTTCAGTTTATACATTTATAGAGTAATGAAGCATCTAGCAAAGCGCAATTTCTCTTCTCAAATTGCAGTTTCTCTCTCTCGCACACACAGTGATCTTCTCTTCTCAAATTGCAGTTTCTCTCTCTCACACAAAGTGATCGTAGAATCAACAAGCAAAGCTCACTCTCTGTCCTCAATTAGCAGTTATTTCCAATTTGTCTCCGTCCTTTTCATGCTTACAAAGTAAAACATGGAAATGTAAAAAATATATTTTTCTTTATTTTTCTTATCAGAGCAAACCAACCATTCACTCTTTGCTTAAAGAGGGGTGTCCTTACAAAATGCTTCTCTATTTGCCCATTCTTTCCTCTTGTATAATTATCATTACAAACGAATCTTCAATTTACAACGATACAATCTTGCTCATGTACGCATGTTTCTCGTATTGAATCGTCAAAAACCCATGTGATGTCTGAAAATGACCAAAGAAGAGCCCATTAAGTAGGTAAGGTCTGCAGTAAATGGAGTGCTCGAGTCCATTGAGGCCTCTCTGATAAAACTATCCTTCGCAGTACCGGAACTGACCCAGCAGCCATTATGGCAGCATGGTTCTCACTGTCCATGCTCAAGTTATACAAGATGGCCAAGCCAGCATTTCGAGCCCTCTCACTACCTTGATCAATTAGCTTGACCAATGGGAATATACCCCCACGAGCAGCAACCTGCCTTGCATAGTCTGCCACTCCTCGAGAGATTATCTGGTTGAGTTCCACCACAGCCGCCTCTTGCAGTTCCGAGGAGAAAGAACTCCTCATCTCTTCAACTAATCTAGGGATCGTCTCGTGAAGGGTGACCTGTCAATATAGATGGTACACGTATGAGCATCATTGTTATCACTGTGTTTTGTAAATACAGGAGCATTATAATCTTCAAGTACAGATGAGTGGGTTGTACATGTAACATAATGGGAAGAAACCAACAACAACGAGAAATAAACAAGCAAACAAACAAATAACAACACAATAATGTTCATTTAACTTCAATTCCTTCTGAGATCTCAATTTCTGAGATACAAAGGTGTATATATATATATGTGTGTGTATGTGTGTGTGTGTGCGCATGTGCATGCGTGTGGAAGCCTCCAGGGGGTTATAATAATCTGACAGAGAGCGATTAAGAGTGTGGAACCCACCACAGCAGGGCATCACAAGAATGGCGGCTCCCATCATTTCATCAGGATGTTCATGAGCCCAATGAGTTATCCATTGAATTATATAGTATGTTTATGAATTGATCTTACCTCCTATGGTTTAGAAATAGAAAGAATAGAGAGAGAGAGAGTACCTCCATGTCAATGGGGCAATCGAGATTCCCACTGGGCCCAGCCAATGTTTCAAGCTTTATAAGACATGCTGCAACCCAGTCTTTTGCGCGAAGAGGGATGTTAGATTTGAGTACTCGACAAAGAATGTGAAAGAAGTGTGTGGAATCGATGGCTTGGCAGCATTCTTCAAAGGCCAATAACCTTGTCAAAAGTCGTGAGGCTGCACTAACAGCCAGCCCAACTTCTTCGGCTTCTATGGCATCCAACTCTCGCTGAATCACTTCATTCTCTTCATTTTCTGACCGTAAAAAAATAGTGTTCTTTGTAAAGAGAGCCATGATAGATAATTGATGAGATTGATCGTGCAACAAAATAGGAAGGTAGAAATGCAATGTAAAGCATGTACTTATACTGCATTTGGTAAGGAGTTCCATGCAATGGAGATTCAATATGTTTAAGAATGTGTTGGTTGTTAATAGACCACAGCTTGCCTACCTTTACAATTTGGCAGGGATAGGAAACACTGTTCCCAGCCTGTGTTTTACAGTAGGAAAGAGATCTCATGCCGTCTTTTCTGCTGCACTATTGATGATGATGTGCTCCACTGAGAATGTAAGAGAAGGGAATTGACCCCACTAGCAAAGGAAGCCTCATGGCATATCCTATTATGGTTAACAAAAGAGAGTTTGTGGTTGATGGATGGCTAAGGAAATGAAATTGGGGGAAACTTTGATGAATCTTGAAGTCCAAAGCCTTAATTAGTTTTTTTCTTGGGGTAAATAATCCAAAGCCTTAATTAGTTGATGAAAGCTAAATGAAGTTTCTTGTCCATAAGCAAACAAGAACATCAAGTATGATATATAAAGAAGATAGTTTCCGCTTCTCTCTGAATAGATATGCATATTTTGCTCTAGTCACCTGTAGTCCGCAATCTAAACCAAGTTATGGTTGTGGTCACTCTTAAAACAATATTGAGAATGAGTAGACTATCTAGGTTGGTGCTTCATGCTACATACTTGTTTAGGCATTTATGTTTTTGTATGTGTAAGAGGATCTGAGAGCATCCTTATAGGAAAAGTATGAAACCAAGTCAAAACAAACAAATGATGCAAGAGGCATATAAGAAATGACATGCCATGCAACTATGTTGCAATTTACTTGAGGCAAATACTCAGACTTCAGATTTAGCTGAATAACACTCAACGAGACAACTCTACGTACATAATTCACTAAAATGCCACTACATAACATCACAATTTTGGAGAATTCCTTCTTTCCTTTATATCATATTAATGTACTAACACAATGAGGGACCAATATAGATCCATTACACTCAAGGATAGACCCCTATAATGGAAAAACAGACCCAGTAAACCAATGCCAAGCACAATGGAGAATGCATTTCAGTCTAATAAACTGTGGCATATGGTATTCAACCACTCTATCCATTGTCCCTTGCAGCAGGTAATGGCTGCATATTAACAACTCTGGGGCTTACAGGATGTAAGCCTGGGCAAAATTAATCTCTAACTACAAGTCATAGTAATTGGAGTATGTAATACTTTATACAACAAGATATGTATATCCCACATACCATCTTTGCATTTTAGTCGAAAACAATGTTCCAGCCCAGAAGCAACTCCCTCTCCAGTGATTGCAGTTGCATAATGTTCATTAATTGCTATGTTCTCAAGAATACAAGCAGCTTTCTGTTGCAAGGCTGGAGTTGATGACTTCATAGTTTCAATAATGTGAGGAATAACACCAGATTTTAAAATCTTTTCCCTACAAAATAGCAACCAAGTCTGCAAATAAAATTCAAAAGGATAGAATAAAAATTTATTAACCAAAATACTTCTACCAAGTCTGCAAATAAACACATTCTCTTATCCTCATCAAATCCAAAGCATACATTCAACAAATATGACATTAAAAATCTTGGACTCAAATGAGTTTTATTTTTGAACTACAGTTTGGTCGAAGTGTATGCCAAACATAAGGAAGCACCCCTATGTACATATGGGAATTAACTTTTCATCAAGTTTCATTTTGTATATAGTTTTCACAATATTTTATGATATTTCCTTATTTTTTAATTTTCTTATTTTGTTGAATAAGCAGGACTTGGCAAGTTCAGTATGGACTGTCCAAGCTGTCTCGCCACAGCACTCGCTGAGTCCTGGAGTGAGTCCTGGTTTTAAAACATTTCTTGGCAAGTTCAGTATGGACTGCCCAAGCTGTCTCACCACAGCACTCGCTGAGTCCCAGAGTGAGTCCTGGTTTAAAACATTTCTTTGTAGCAACAGCCAAACTCTTTTTTTTTTTTGTTCTGATGATGATGAGATAAAGGCCCAGGGTCTCTTTTTCTTTTCTTCTTTTTTTTTTTGGTATTAAAGACCGAAATTCTACTTAATGATATTCTTACTTATGCATGGGCAGAGAGCCATTTTTCATTAGAGAAAATGTATTTTCTTTGCCCCCAGAATTCGATGGAATATCCATCTGCCTAAAGGAAGAGGGGGAGGGGAAATCCAACCACTCTCTCTTGCTTCTTCTAGCTTCAATCTCTCTGAAATATTGTTTATAGCATTATTTATAGATGTACATTTATCAGTACAAAGCTCAAATCTCTTAGAGAGTAATTGTTATTTAAAAAAATAGATTATAAACCATATTTAAATTTTAAAAAAAAAAGGTACTTTCAGCCCCCACGGGACTATGCTAACATCTTAGTTTTTGTAGAACCATATTTCTTTGATATAGCATGAGAGAAAATATTAGCACATGATAATAACATATGAATAGGATAAACATATGGAAAATTTGGTTGTGTTTTTTTATTTTCGACTCTCATATGACTAAAATAACGGTGTTCAATTTTCTTGGGAATCCCATGCCAGAAGTGCTACACTAAAATAAGTATGTTCAATTAATGATGTTTGTCTTAGGAATCCTGTGTGATTCACGGGTAACTTATCTCTTACTTTTTGTCTAGGATATATATTATATTTGTAGGTTGCAAGTCAGAAGTGCAGCAGAAGGCGGAGTGCTTAATATCTTTAACGCCAAAATAAAATGTCATGGACTCAAAACCCATGAACGAAAAGGAAAAGAACTTGTCCCCCCTTTATTGGGATACGGTGCATCTATTGTTGAGACAAATCTATTTACCGTGTTGATACAAAGTGCCCACAACAAATATTTCCTGACAAGTACAGGGCGCACGTCAGTCCTGTGTCAAAGTGTCTTGACACTCGACAAGTGATACAAAAGAAAACCCGAAGTGTCAGGGTAACACTGCCGTTATCTATCCAAGGAGGGCGAATTACAACTAGTTTATCAACTTAAGTTTGGAAAGTAATCATAATATTCTATAGAGGTCACCATTGTTTGATGAAATATAACATTCATGGGCAACAGAAAATTAATATTTTATTGGGATCAGCACTGTTTGATGATAATGGCGATGGAGAGATAGGGAGCCCACCTAAATTAGGCACAAGCTCAATGGTGAGTCCCGCTAGTCCATCTGTCCAACTTGTCAATAGATAATAATGACCCAAAGGCCTATTGTTTGTCTCATAGTCCCTTGGAAAGAGTATTCTTCAACTTAGAATTTACAGCACATGCCTATGAAGCTTCTAAGTTCATCAGTAGGAAGTCCAAGAATGTTTCTATAAGTGGTTAACTAGGAAATGACAATAAAAACAATTTTCTTACATACAATTCACTTGATCAGCATACTTGCTATTTCAAAGTCTGTGGACTTAATCCTAAACTCTACAAGGATTGGGAACAAACAATAATGCCAAGCTTTGCTAAGACTCAAAAATACAAACCTAGTGGTGGTTTCTTTCAATTCTGATGGTTCACTTAAAGCTCCTTCTAGTCCAGCTATGAACTCAGAACTTTGGTCCAGAGAACCTTGAATCTGAAAGAGTTAACCAATTTACGATCACAAAATGCACTTAATAAACACCAAAAAAGACAGAAATCTATAAACATTTCACTCACTGTATTCATCATTTCTTCATCAGGATTGGAAATCCAAGAGAGTATGCTCATAGCCTGCATTTGCAATTACATTTCCTCTCAAGTCAGCACAAATTGAAAAGTACGACAATCATGCCAACAATACACAGCCCAATTCTGAGGGAGAACCACAGTGGATTAAAACCTTCTCAATAAGACTTTGCGATGTATTTACGTCCTTTAAAATATCCAACAGAGGATCCACAACACCATGTGATTCAATTATCCGGGAAACATTATAACTGTTCCACAACCAAAGACAGCATAGCGTGAGCAATAAGTTATAGAGATTATTGTCAGAGACCAATAGTGCATTTCAAAAAGGGTTTTAATGCAGTAAAAGCCCAATATGGTTAAGAATGTGTTGGTGGTCAATGGACCACAATTTCCCAGCAACCTTTTACAGATGGGCAGTATTGTAAACACCAATCCCATCCTGTGCTTTACAATACAAAAGAAAAAAGCTTATGAGGTATTCTCTTTTCTACTTATACTATTTACAACAAAGTGCAGGGTTAATTGAATAAAAGGGGGAAATTGGCAAATGAAGCCTAATAAATTTTTGCACTAATCTATTACAGATTAAATGAAATCAGAATACAATCACACTTTCAAACACTACTAATGTGCACAATATATAAAAGGTAATTAATCCAAACCACATGATTTTAAAAAAAAACAGGGGAAACTATAAAAATTAATGGACCATATAAAACTGTCATACATTGGGGTCATCACTGTCCAATGAAACGATGAACGTAACCCCAATGGTAGGTCCCACACTCTTTCATAACCATCCATCAATTCATAGGCAATGGCCACATCAAGGGAGTATGGTTTTCCATAATCCTATATCTCCCCCAAACAAATATTATTTTGTATTACCTAATATATTCAAAAGAACAAACATTACCTGATAGAGAGCCTATCCAATGCATGAGCTGAAGCAAATCTAACAGCATCATTATCATGAGCTAGCAAGCATACCAAGCGTTTTATTGCTCCTGCTTCTTTGAACAAAAGCCTAATGTGCTCATTGATACAAGAAACAGCAATTGAGTGTGCAGCTTTTTCGATAACTGACACATCTTCAAGCCCAAGTATCAAAACCAAGCGAGCAACCCCATCCCTCCATGGCAAAAGAGTGAATCGCGGATGTGGAGCTGCTCCAGGATCAAGTTTTATTCCCTCTTCCATTTCTATAGCACCAATTCGTGCAAGGAATTGCTGCTGGGACCGCCCCACTATAGCATCCACCTTTCCTTCTTCTAAATTGATGTTTTTATCTTTAATATTGAGACCCAATAAAAGTTCCCCCGCACCATATTTGGAAGGGGTTGAAGGATCCCTTTTGATCTCGGTTCCATCTGGTAAAGTAGGCCAAGAATGAGAAGGAGAACTAAAGGACTTATAGGCATCTGCCCCAACAATTGGGACAAGGACAAATCCTTCTTCTACAATAAGTATTCTGTAGTATTCATCGTTAGCCAGTTCCAGCAATACATTCCTTGCTTCCTTTTTAATGGTCTTTGATTCTTCTTCTTTGTTTTTTAAGATCTCTGCCTGCAAATAACACCGGCATCAACAAACTTCATGGAAAAAACATATTAAAAAGGAGAACTATTACAAGTATACAATGGAATTTAATATTAATGAAATAATTCAATTATGAAGCAAAAACAATAATATCTCTTTCTGGTAAAGAGAAACAATTATTTGAATCACTTGCGTTGAAATATAAGAAACAGAAGTTTATAGCCAGAAATGTTTTGAGGACTCATGACTTAATTGGTAAAACTAAAAACAATATGTAGTCATGCACTCATTTTTCTGTTCATGCCCCAAAGCTCCAGAGCCATTAGATCCAAGGTTGGAGCTACATGCCCTTTTATAAGGCTTAAACATGAGAATATTTAGTCCATGGTCCTCTACCATGTGAAACCCAACAACTATGTTGCTGTCTTAGCTGCAACACAATGATTTCATTGACCATTGATTCAAAATTTCATAGCCATCTATTAAGTTCACTAAAAGTTATAAAAAATATGAAGCTCAAAGGAGAAACACAATAGAGATAGCTCCACAATATTCAATTCACAGGTCTGTAAGTGCTCTACTAGATAAACCCGCTGCCAATGTCCATAAACTGATATGCAGGGACGAAATTGAGAATAGTGAAAATAAATGTTATTTCATCACTTGATGGTCAAGCAAATGACCAGGGTCCTCTCAAGTAAGCATCATATTCATCTGCTAGAGAGGTAATATGAACTTGCGTATGTCAATGGGAGCTAGTTCTCCTAGCTATGAAGACTAGAAGGACAACAATATCATAATTAATTCATGGCTTTTAAATTCTACGGTGCTTGATAACAAATAGAAATATCATGTTTTCTTTTTCTTCTTCTTTTTTTTTCTTTTTTTTTGAAAAACAGAGATATCGGGTTATTAACAACTGAGAGTTTTACAGCAATATTATCTCAAGAGTCGTTTCCATTTATTTTCAAGAAAAATAATATCCGTAAGCTCTTCTCTATTGGGAAACCAAAATTTAACATTTACATTATTATATTATTTTTTAGAAAACAAAATTTTTATTTTAGTTGAAAACAAATATGTTGGTAAAGATATGATACCAAAATAAAAGTATGATAATTACATTGCTTGTTTTGATTGTAAAATAGAATTGAAAAGTTCAACATATGAAGCAAGTGTCACCATCACTGGTTGCTGTGAAAGGCAAATTTTATTATTAAACTAAAATGTCACTTTACCCATATCACCTTTTAGATTAAGTTATATCAAAATGGAAAAGTATGCATTTAACACAAGTTACTTAACTTACCAAAATAACTCTGGCATGGCAAGCCCTAAGTCCAGATGAGAAAGGATGAGGGTTGTGTTAGGTTGGCAGCCAGTGAAAACTTTTGCCACGTCCTTATCATGTATGTTGACCCAATGTTATATGCTCGTGCTAGGGTATTCCCTATAAGCGATGCGCTATGGTCTAACTAAAGGTATAGCCCTTGATAGAGCAGAATGGCAGAACATGATTCATGTGGCTGACCCCAAATAGTTGAGATAATGCTCGGAGGAGGATGACGATGATGATGATGACCAAACTTACCAAAATTTTAGCAAGTATTTCTTTGATAGGAAAATTTTAAATGTTCCTAGAAGAGCACTAAGTTGATGTTCCCCCACCTCAAAAACCATTTTTGAGTAGGTGAGGGACAGGAAGAAATTCCAAATCAGTTTCCTCCAATCCAAAACGATCTTCTCAAAAAAGAATATTATGAGCTCCAAAAATGATGCAAATTTTTTGCCTCTCAGAATCAGATGTATGAGTCCATTTGAATGGACACTAGATCTATGGAATTTGGAGCGGTTATGGAGCTGCAAATCAATTCTTACTTTAGAGGAGCCACTTCAAAACTATCTCCTCCAAAAAAAATCCAAATCAATATAGAAGTTATCTTTTAATGTTCCTGCAGAACATGAACATCAAAAGTTCACCCTTGTTGGGATTTCCAAACTGAAAGGACAAATCCCCTTCTTAATTGCATCCCCTATATTATCTCCATGGTTTTCGCAAATGAAAATAACAAGCTTCTGAGGGCCATGGTAACTTCAAACTATTGGGACTTATATCAAAATCTTATTGGGTGTGCACATTATCGCATGAAAAATCTGGTACAATCATGATAGGGTTAATGTTTATTATTAACAACTTGGAGGAATCTTCTCCATAGGTGCCAAGCATACCAGGAACTGCTAATCATCACAGTGCAAGACATTCAACAACTTGGCTTTACATGATTAAAAACAATGATGAAATCTTCCAAAACTTGAAAAAGCTTCAAAATCATCATCATCATTCAAGCCTTATCCCAATTATTTGGGGTTGGCTTAGGGTTCATGATAAGATGTGGCTAGATTTTATGCGCTGCCTATCTAACACGACCCACATCCTTTACCCAGGCTATGGATGGGTTAAGAGAAAGCTTAAGGTCCTCACCCTTATTAGACCTTTCCTAAAGCTTCAAAAAACAATTGAGAAATCCAATTGTCAATAAATATATGAATCCATGATGATCCCATAAAGGAGGAATTGGCAATTACATGAAGCAGTCACTTAGATAGAGGCAAATCAACTATAAGATTTTTTAACTATTTCTGTCCTGATGACCGCCTATATGGTCCAAGGAAATGCAGATCCATGTTCTTTACAGGAAGCAAGCGAGGACTCAAGGGTGGGTATTTGCATTGAGGCAGGAAAATTCTCCATACCTTGTATTATAACCTGACTCAATGGCTTATGAAAGAGCATTCCGCCTTGGAGACTAGCATGCATTTTCTCTGAGATGTTGAACTTTTCTAATGGAATAGAGTAATAAAATAAATGTACTAAAGGGCATTCATGCCATATGGGAAGCAAATTCAGTGGGGAAGGTTTAGGCCAAGTTTGAATGGATTATTTCTACACAATTAAGCTCTTTTTATTACATAAAAGAGGAGGGAGAATTTTTTTTTGTGGGCCATTTGGGTCATTTTGTTCCATGAAAAGGGAATATTCTAACACCCCAAATTAGAAGAAAAAAAAAAAAACTTGTCCTATGCCCTAGAAACACCCAAAATTTTTAAAAATCAAGAAAATTTCAAGAAATTAATAGAATCATTCAAAACCTTACCATATCTTATTGCAATCAATTTTAGGGTCTAAATGAGGTTCTTAGAAGACTTTTAGGGTGATTTTGAGCTTGCTAGACAACCAAAAAATTGAAGATAAAACGTCCAAAACAGTGAATAATTAAAGTATCTCCTCTTTTTTTCATTTGTATCGCATCTATTGTATAACATCATTTTATATTGGTCATTTAGTCTCATTGGAGATTTGGAGTCTATGAGTACAACAGTACAAATTATGCATTACAGATATGGTTTATGAACTACGGAAACTAAATCACTAATACGCTATGTACTAGGGTTTCTTTTTTTTGCCCCCACTATTTTAGCTATTCAAAGAAGCAAATTTTTAGTGATTTGAACGTGTTTCAACATTCACATGCATATATTTATATAAAAAGTTACCAAGATTAAATATAAATGCATAAATATACATATTTAACAAAATATATATAGGAATATACCAAACGAACATATATGCATATATGTGTATATCTCACATCTCTGGGCGCTTGAGGGTCCAGGCGGCTGCCTAAGCGCTGGGCACCCCAGACCCCCCCCCTCCCCCCAACAGCGTTTTTTAAAACCTTGAGTACAATTATCTATAACCTATTTGCTATTATTATGTATATGTGATGGACAATCATACAATATGCAATCCAACAATCCCTTTTCCAATTGGAGAGAAAGATGTCACCATTATACAGTGAGTAGGTCCCTTCACAGGAGAGCTCCACCTGAACTTGATTATTCATGAAGTGTGCCACTAGCATTTTTGTTTTTTTTGAAGAAATGTGCAACTAGAAATTTCTTAACAGTGCAATGAGAAATCTATTAATGCATGATTTGTTTTTTGACAAGTTTTTAAAAGCAATAGTTATGGATTTATACCCGTGAAGAAAAGTATTTATGATTAAGCACTCACCAGCTTGGGAATGACACCAGCCTCTACCATAATTTCATGACTAGATGGACTTAGGGCTAGATTTGCTAATACACCTCCTGCTGCCTCCCTAACTTTGATATCCTCGTCACCAAGAAACCTAACAAGTTTTGGAAGAAGAAAATCAACTTTTGCCATCTTCACCCTGATCTTCTCATCAACAGATAAATTCCATAAAGTGCATACACATTGTTCCTTAACCTGCACCAAATAACCAATATGGCAACAATATGTAACGAACATCATATAATAAACAGTCAATGCACCATTTTTTATCAACAGCCAATATATTAAAATTGACAAAATTGGAACGCCCAATATTCCATGGCTCATGAATACCTCTCCAGGAAGATTGGGCCTACTAAGGAGACCATTTATTTCTTCTATTGCTCCTGCTTCTGCAACTGAAGCTCTGTATATATTGACAGAAGATATGGTTCTTAAAAGTCCTGCTGCTGCTTCACTCACAGAGCCATGATCAGATTTCAGAAGGATAATCGTGAGGTTAACGCAACCAGGGAATTTCACAATCTCATCAATGCTCTCCTTTCCCCCTTGTGAATATCTCCACAAAGCATTAATGGCCTGTTCTCTATCTAGAGGATCATTGTCCATCCCAAGCATCCGAATAAATAAACCAACATAACCGTCCTCGACATTACCTTTCCTGCTCCTAAATGTATCTGTATCCTGAAATTCAAACAATAAATGGTATCATTTGTTGCCAATGGGAAGAAATGTGGCCAAACGGTGTTATTTATAAGAAGAAATGTGATTAAAAGATATAATTGAGGAATGAAAAGAATAATATCATGATACCAAAGTTTTCATTTCAAGTGATGGAGTTTTGTCACAGAAGTTCAGTAAACCTATTCAAGCCAAGAAGCCATTATAGATATTGGAAACATATTGACTACTTCATATCACAGTTATAGAGAATCCATGATAATACCATCTTGGTGAAGTACTCCCAATTACTACAATAAAAAAGATAGAATTCAGAGCCATTCGGATGAAGAAACCAATGGTTTTGTCTCTTAAACTCCAAGAGACAGAAATTGCAGGAACAATAATGGTTTCATAAGAATCAATTAACAAAACACCACAAAAATTTCACTTCACTAATCAAGGTTTAATTCAGGAAATAAAAGACCCCATGTTTTGAAGTATCTTGACACCTTCTTATCTGAACAATCATGAAACTAGAAGCTCTTTTCCTCAATCAATAAACTAACGAATCAATAAACCCACAAGCCATAGAACTACCAGAGAAGAGCTCACAGAAAACGGGGACATGAGGAAATAAAATCCAAAGTTAGAAGACCCAGAAAAACCAAAAATCGCAAGTAAATATATACGAATTAGGAGCACAGAGAAAATGAGGCAATGGAGGGAATTCGACTTCAAAGAGAGAGAAAAACCACAAAAAACAGAAAAACCCAAACATACAGACCAATGAAGAGCTCAAAGAAAATGCGTATGGAGCAAATAGAATCCAAATAGAGAAAATCAGAAAAGAAAGACAACCCAAATGATGGAATTTCACAAGTTACTCACTGAGGATAATGGAGGTTGAGAAGTCTCAGTAGTTCCTCCATCTCTAGCAAATTCATTAAAGTTCTGAGCAAAGATATATCCTTTTCTTTTCCCATGCCGCTGTTGGTGTACAGTGTCAGTAGAGAGCCGCTTCCTATAAGGAAAATGAGCTCTGGAAAGGACTGAGAAGCGTATCTGTGAGGAAGTAAGGTGAGGGTTAGGGTTTGGAAATGGTGGGTGGAAAGAATAAGTAAGATGAGTGTGGTGGTTGCAGAAGGGGGCCATTGCGGCGTTTGTTCAGTCCAAGCGTGGCTTCTCGATTTTTTTATTTTATGGAGGTCCATGTGTGGGCGAATATACTGCAAAAGTGCAATTTGTAATACACACGTCCTGTGTATGGGAGCTCCAAACGCTTCGAGGGTGCCAAAAGATACTAAGCTCCTGATGGAGTCTACTGTCCCTTTACTCCCTCAGGTTCCATGCATATATGTGTTTTCCCGTTGATGAGTTGGAACTTTGAGTAAATCAAACAACATTTCAGTAGGGGTGGCAGCAGGTCGGGTACAGGTCAAGTCTGGCTGAACCAGGACCCGAATAGCATTCGGATCTAAAATTTGGTCTCGTGCTCGAACCTATCGAGTCTCAGGTCTCGGGTCGGTCAGATCCATTGCCACCTTATGACTATGAGCTTCTTCTCTTTTTTTTGTCTTTTTTTTACCATTATATACCTTATGATTATGAGGATCTTTTTTTTTTGCTAATAATACTATAAATATAGCCAATGTTGTGTCAATAAGAACACCTAGCGTGCTTAAAGATACACAATTGTTATCATATATCCTATGACTACGCATATAGGTCGGGTCGGCTAGACCCAGATCCGGAATAGTATCCAGGTCCAAAATTTGAACCCAAGGTCAGGTATAACCGTTAGTTCCCCATTCTAGTCGGGTCCATTGCCACCCCTACATTTCAGTATGCGTTTGATCATCACATGTTATCCTAAATAGCCATTTTACATGGGGTCCCAAAGAAACGGCTTGGATGGGTCCACCTTTCGTCTTTTTTCCTCTCTTTTTTTAAAGCAAATGAGCGAGGTGGGGGACCTAACCGTCTTATTAATTTATTTAAAGTTCTTACAAAAAAGAACAACATACTAATAGTATGAGTGTGATCGAGATCAGTATATTGAGATGAATGAATGCGAGACAAAAAAGGATAGAATTGAAAATAAATATGTTATGAAGAACTTAGGTGCGGCTCCAATAAACGTTAAGATAAAATAAAGTAACTTAGGTAGACTGAGAGAAAGTAACTTAGGTAGATTGGCCACATGCAATGCAAACTGAATACTCCACCTTTTAAGAGGTGCAAGTTAGTTCAAGTTGAAGGCTAAAAAAAAAGTAGGGTAGGCCCAAAAGGATATAGTTGGAAATAGTGATAAAAGATATGAGGAATTATGGCCTCACGAGGGTATGGCCCTTGATATAGCACGATGGCAAAGTGTAACGAACCTCAAATAGTTGGAAAAATGCTATGATAATGATGATGACAAAAAATAAATCAAGGGGCCTTTAGAAAGATAATATTTGCAGCATCAGAAATTAAAAAACAAGCCAAAAAATTTGATGGGCAATAACCCCAAATTGTAGCCTACGAGCATCACATGCCATAGCTTGCTAATACATCAGCAACATGGTTTGTTTCTAAAAAAACATAATTCATGATCCAATGCACATTCTAAAGATAACAAAGGCAGTTATAATCACGAGTGCGAAAATGGCAAGAGGAACACTAGTTCCATATAAGGAGTTACAACTTGGAATCACTCTGAATCTCTATCTTAAGAACTTTAAGCTCTTTAACAAGCTGAATTCCTGATACCAAAGCCATATACTCATTCCAACGTAGTGCAAATACGCCTGCATGATCTAAAACTTCTAACTTACTTTATTTGTGACTTCAAGTATAGTCTTTATAAATTAATCCAAAAAAAATACTCTCTTGATGAGTTGCACATCGTACTTGATATCTTAAAAAAATTAAAACAATCTAGACATAATCCCAAACATTAGTTGATAAAATGCTAGGGCTTATTAACAAGAATGGTTGGGTTTGTAGTGGGTTTCCTCTTGAATGAGTTGGAGACCAACAACTAGTGCATTCTCTTAGGGGTTGTATAGCAAAAGACTCTTTATACTTTGTATAAGATAAAAAAGGCCATAATTACATCTAATCATCGGATACAGTATCTAACATCCTAAAGCACATTATAAAATTCAAAAAAGTTTCTTTTAGACTTAGAGCCCGACCAGTAGAATACACCTCCAGCTACCTGATTTCACATCTAAGGACTTAAAGAGTGATTGTATCCCTTTATGTGAAAGGTTAAATGGTCTTTTTATATGCTCTCTTTTTCTTAAATAATTAAAATGTACAGTTTTAAAAAGGAGTTTAAAATGAACTATTCTTCGGCTCAAATTTATTTTGTTTATTCATGGTTAATGTTGTCTAGGTGATAGACAAGCAAAATTTGGATTAAAAATACATCTCCTAAATGTATTTTGGAAGGTGGACTCACTGAATGATATGCATCCCCCAAACACCCCTAAACCTCATCCTTTTCTCATGCATGCTAAATATATTGAGCTTCTCTCTAGCCATCTCTTTTTTATGTTGGGATAATTCAATAGTCATTTTCGAACCTCAACATGATGTTGTAATTATCAAAACTTATAATCAATCCAGTTTTCTGGCATATGGTAAATCCCTTATTCCACTCTGACTTCAAAAGTCTTAAGAGCCAATACCTTAGCAAATTGACTCAATCAAGCCACAATGCACACGAGTGATTTAGCCATGGCTACTTTTCTCTCTCACCATTTTGCTCTTTTAATTTGTTCATGTTGAAAACAATAAAATTTTAAAAGAACGAAAAGGAAAGGGAAATTTATCAAATTACCCATGAGAAAATAACAATTTAACACTCTGCCCATATCTTTTTAATTTAATTTAAAAATACCCATAAAGTAACTCATGGTCTTCAGCGGGAATAGTTCCAAAAGGGTAAATTGTTAAAGGGTGCAGTTGGCATGTGGATGCATACGTAGGTGTAAAGGTAAGGTGCACCTTCAAATTTTATCATGGTACATAATTTTGACGTAAAATGTTCTTAGGATTATCTCAAAATCTATTTTTATACCGAATTATAAAATTTTAAATTTCAAAAATGGTTAAGATCAAGTAGATCTATAAATATACGAAAATCTTGAAACTTGCCTGTGTAGATAATATGTAAAATGCACTATTTCTAAGACTTAAAATCTTTTTATTTTTCATAGTCATACATCTCGATGTCGAGATGATCAATCAAAGGGTTTTTCAACATTAAAACTATCTTTTCCGATGATTTTTGAGGGGCATCCGTAGTTCTACATTATAAGGTTGCATCCTTATATAAACTTTTTTCATTGTTAAATAGTTCATCTTTTGTGGGTATTTTGATAAATTTCCCCACAAAATTTTTAAAAAATTATTTTGGAAGAATTTCATTTTGTTCTAGAGGATGAGTAGCACTTCAAATGGACCAATATGAACAGATGATAAAAATTTGAAATTGGACACACAATATCTTTGTTAGAATTGAGAACATGTAACCATTTACAGATACTTTTCCGAGCAATATAATAAGCTTCCTACTGCTTGTATTTGTCATAATTTGGAAGGAAATCACACGTTCTAACTTGTGTCTATGTTTCTCCCTGATATTCTGTCGAGCAACAAAAACTCAACTTGATTGCAACAAAGACTTAACTTTTTATTACTAGATGCTCCTCAAAGAAATATCATCCCTTACAAGCATAAAGGGCCAATTGAGCCTGAAAGCCTCCGATGCAACCTCGCAATTTGATTATCTCTTCCTCATTTGCAGCAATTTGGAGTAAGATACTATGATCATTAAAAAAAAGTTAGAAAAAATAATAACTACAAAATAATGGGAATAGAAATTACAATAAAAATCTAAATATGGTGACCACCGTATAAAAGGAAATCAATCCATTATATGATAAAACTTAGTGAATTAAATGAGTTCCGGCTTTGTTAAGGTCATGACTACATGAACTAGGAAACAACAGAAAGAGAAATTCCAGATGGGCATAGAAAATTCAGAGCAGCATTCAAAGAGGCCATGCTTCATATTCATGCTTAATGTGGTACACTAAATCTTCTTGTAGTCAAATCTATCATGCAAAAATTTATAGTAGCATTATTAAATGTCAGACATCATTAGACTGTTTAGATCGTGCAATAATTTATTCATATCCACAATCAAGGAATATGTATTCCCCTTTTATGGTTAAGCAAGAACGCATCTGTCAATATGGTCACTCAAAATATGATTTCGGAATTCTATGAAAATGGAACAAGTTACGAGTTATTAACCATTTCAGCCCCATATGGACATACCAAGTTTCAGAAACAGGACTATTTTCATTTCCAATTCCACCCTTTATGAGTGAAAAATGGTCTGCTTTTAATGCTGCCAAAATGTCCAAACCATGCAACAAAAAAATACAAAAAATTGTCTTTCTGCACTTCCTTGTTGGAATTGTCCAGCCATCCAAACAGTGCTTTACTCAACAAAGTAAGTTTAACAAGCTGCAAACTTAAAAATAACACACAGAAATGATAAAAGTTCTTAGTGATCTATTCATTCCCTTGATGGAAGATGCAGGGTTGCATTAGAAAAACTTAAGGCTATTTAAATTTTTGCTCCATTCCTCTTTCTTCCTTTCAAATATCAGACAGAAAATCATGAATAAAACAAAAGTTGGATAGTAGTGCACTAACAAAGTTATTTATAAATATATCCATCTATCTAAATAGATACATAATACAGACGATTAGATAGAAGATATCATTGCTATGAGTTATTTACCATGAATTGTCATCAATTGTTTTAATGGCACACTGTGAACTCCTTAACTCATGAATATCCTTGAGAAGCTTCTCATTTTCCAAGTTTCCAACACCTATATTGCTCTGCAATTCTGTTTTGTTTGTGTAAGTCAGATTTGATGTAACATAGAAACAAGTAACAATAATAGTCTAAAGCACAAATGCCATGAATCCTATGCTACTATTAACTGGGTAATAGGATTAGAATAAATGAATAAATAGCTTGATGGCCTTAAAATGCAAACTACTTACACAACTTGTGAGGTTGTTAGTCTCAAGCCTTTAATTCGAAAGTGAACAGAACATGTGTCTAAGATGGATGCTTTGATAGTCTGGTGAGCATAAGTCATTACCACTAAAAAATAAAAAAAGTTTCAACATTTAGCTCAAACTACAACACTTAGGTCCCAAAAAATAGAAGATTCCAAGTAGGAGTGGCAACAGGTCAGGTCAGGTCGGGGTCAACCCGACCCGACTAGGGATAATATCGACCCAACCCACCGGCTCGGGTCCAGGTCTAGAAATAGAAAATAAAAAAATTATTTTATATATGTATAAGATATATTTTATATCTATATATGCTACTTAGGGACCCGACCTTGAGCCATCCCGATAGGTCCAAGCCAGACCCGACCCGACCCAGAGGCATCCCGATAGGGTCCAAGCTAGACCCAGTTTGGGTCGATCCACCAGGTTGGTTGCTTGACCTGACCTGAATGCCATCCCTAACTCCAAGTATGTAATTAGGATCTGTACAGTATGTATCACAAGGTAGTCAAAAGCATGGCAAGCTGTACATTATGTATCATAAGGTAGTCAAAAGCACACCAAGGAAACAAAGCAATTTTGACTGAGGAGAGGCAAAATTGCAATAGACCCGGCAAATAATCTTCACACAAGTATATACATTTTTCCATTCATAGACAGGACAAAACAAAACACAATAACTATTCAGTAGAATGCAATACAAGAGATAATAAGCTAATATGTAGTCATAATGCCATGAATAGTTTGAAACTCCAGAAAAATTGAACCGAGAACATTCTGTTGTTAACCCAAAAATATGACCAACTCAGCAGCAGAAGCTTACCAAAATTAGTAGTGCGGAGTCCTGCAATAATCTCTTGGATAAAAGTTGAGGTCGAATCTCTCAATGTATTGATTTGGTTATTCAAATTTAGTATCCGACATTTGAGAACATCTTTCTCTGCAAACAAATAATGGACATCTTTACCACCTCCATCCATTGTTATATTATTCTGGAATTTTCTGCAACTATCAAAGAAGGTCTCCCTAAAATCATGAAAATAATATTTGTTATCTTTTAGTAATTTAATATCAACCCCAAAATTTTGCATAAAAAATAAGTTAGAAAGCATAGCAGCCAATTTCATAGCCAATGAAGCTCTTGATCCGCCACAAGACGCAGTAGCATACTAACATATGCAGTACATATCTGAATGGTCAATGAGCTAGCAAATGGAGCAAAAATTTATAACTTGTTTCCCTATTGGTCAATTTACGAGTAAATGGATTAACGATAAATGACATGAATACCCATAAGATCAATGAATAAATTAACAAAAAACACGCAATACAGAACTATACTCCTACTGACATCAAATGCTACATATTGACACATACCAATACTCCACAGCAAGTTCGAGATTGGAGATCAATACACCCAACTTGCAAATAAGTATGTATCTTATTAAGAACACGTGCAACTTTTCACGAACATAATGGAAATCTATCACACAATGTTCTGTTTGTTCATGGAGCCTTTAATTTTAAGTTGTGCGCATGTGTCTGTTATTATCATAAACTCATAAGCCCCAACTCTTGGAGTTGTTGAGAAGACCGCGTCAACTTGATTTAGTGCTAGTAAATAGCCTCAATTGTTTCCAAGTAGATGAGTAGTTTTTTTTCTACCATTCTCTAGGCTATAAGATTTCAACTTTTAAAAACACAATACCCAGGGGTAGCTAACTAACATCTTACACAGGTTGTGCTTTAAATATCTAAAACCCATGCACACAAAAGCTGCAGTACATATAATGTCCACAACAATTTACAATTTCTGAACATCCCATGAAAAATCAAGCACATGTATCCAAACTCTAGCTAAGTGAGAAGTATAGAATGATTAACACAAATACTAATAATAATAGTAACAATAATAATAATAATAATAACAATAAAATAACAATAATAATAATTAATAAAGGTGAATGTTGGTGTGCTCCCAAGGAACAATACTATTGGTGGATTTAGAGCCTTATTAGAGCTTCCAAACAAAATATTGTTTGGATGAGACTGCTTTTGGTGGGAAGAAACTATTTTGTGGTCCCTCACACACCTCAATATTTGTTTTCCAGGTGGGATGAGCATGAATGGGTACCGTAAAATCCAAATCAAATAACTACTTGACCATCAACAACTAGTTTACTCATCAATCACCATGAATGGAAAATCCCAGAATTTAAGGATTTTCAATGAGAAAGGAATCAAATGAAGATACTGGAGAAAAGAAAATCATAGTCACATTTCAAAAATTTGAGCCACTGCCGATCATTGGTAATTTTGTTCAGCATCTTCTCCCGCTTACTCGTTAAACACATTACTTCCTCCTCCATATGCTTCAATGAAGCACTTGCTACAGCTGTTTGGCAATAATAAGTCATATAAATAATCATCAAAGTGACAAAAGAAAGAACAGTGAAATGACATTAAAGAATATATGGATTAATATAGGAAGAGAATTTGTGCAATAGAACCAAAAGGCAATCTGGTCAAGGTATTTGATGTCTATAATCAGGATGCATTTAGAATAACTGAACTGTGGGGGAAGAAGCAATTAAAACCACAGCAGGGAGTTGGTTTATGAGGTGAAAGTTGGTTTATGAGGTGAACTAATGTGACAATGCCTTGTGCCTGAAAAACCTTAGAAAAATTGGATCCATCAAGAAAGGTATTTGAAAGCCTTTGTCTTCATTCCGCAATAACGTTCTAGTGTATGTGGACAAGTCTTTTGCGTGGCAAAAATATTTGAAACTCAAAAGAAATGCATTAACCTCCTCAACCATTATTCCTTTAATGTTCAAAATTGAGTTTCAATCATGTATTCATGCTAGAAAAGTTTTTAAAAACTTTTGAGGATTTGAGATATCAAGTAAATGACATTAATTTAGCTTTAGATAGTAAATAGGCAGGACATCAAACATCAATGTATAATATCAATGGTATGTAGTGTTCTACTATTATTTGACAAATTCATTCTGCCTCCAATCAAGTCCCTCATCAAAGCACAATTGTCAGGGAAGGTAACATTCAATTAGCTTCTACAACTCACATGAAAAAAATTTAGTTCTGCTTTAGAAAGTTCAAGGTAAGAATATCTCAACTGCAGATTGTCTATCATGGGTGTCAATGAACAAATTTCAGGGCCAGTGTCAAAGTATATCTTCTGAGGACGTATTGCAATATGTTACTTCGGCCTTGCTCTTCAATTTTTTCATGTACTTGATGCATTTCTATGTCCTTAAGTTGTAACAAGCATTGCTCCATGTGTAACACCAGAGATGGTACCGTATATACATCAAGGTTATAACTGTTAATGAAATCCAACAAGCTTAATGCCCACCTTCTCTACTTCGTCTAAGCTTCTGAACTATATCAGTCACCAATTGCATTGATGAAAAACATTTAAAAAATGAAACAAAAATCATTATGAAAATGCCAAACAATGATGACGGGAACATCAAATGTGTTGAAACTTTAGGCATTATTATTATTCCAAATACTCAAAGCATCAACAGTTGACACAAATTTTCCGTATTTGTGGCCACTGTCGCAATTGGAGTTATGATTAAAAATTCATTATAAAACTATAAGAACAATGGTTGGAAAGACTTCATCAAGCACAAACTAATAAACTATGATGCGACAAAAATCACCCAGAACTCCATGGGAGTAGCCCCTTATCAACCCATAAAAAGAATGAAAAAGCAGCAAACGGCTATTCTTCTTAAATGAGGTTACTCAAAAGGGTCTCAAACTCTAGATTAATACCAGATACTGCAGCTAATCCACTCATTTCAAACTTCTTTGAATTAATAAGATGTGTTAACTCTGCTTCTCTGTCCAGTAATTTATTTTCTACCTCTGAACATTTAACCACCTCTGATTCTATCTCTCTTGGTCTCTGGATGTTTGCCTCGAGTTCCTCATTTACCTGTAGCCCTACAGATGAGGTCAATAAACATCAACTCCTACCCCAAAATTCGAAATACAGAGTGCGCAACTATTGAGAGATTGGATGATGGCAGTTTTCTCAAGAGAATAAAACTAGTTTTTAATCTTAATTTGCTTTGGGAACTAAGCAGCAGGATTTTAAAACAGATTACAAAAATTCCAAAGCTTTAAGAAACCTAAGAAATTGTTCACAATAAAAAATTCTAAAGAACAATGGGTCTGGATTAATTTCAAAATCAACCAATCCTACACAAAGGATTGCTAAATAAAAGCTAAAAAATTGTTTGAATCACAATTTCTAAGACCCAATGATCCTAGATTTTCACAGTCAACCAATCCCACAGAAAGAAGAATTCGTCGCCTTGGCAAGATAAACCAATCCGAGCTTAAAGCAGAGTGGATTAAATGCATATTACCATAAAATGCAAGAGATGCGATCTGATCAAATTTGTTCGTCCAACTCCTTGTAACTAGATAATAGTACTCAAAAGAAAACTGTGTCACATATATGAAAAAAGAGACATAAATCTCTCCATGTTCACTATGGACAAATATTTTATTAATAACGGTAATTCTATTCGAAATCAAGTTTGCAATTTATTGGCCTTGGATTTTCCGGATACCATCAAAAACTGTCAACAGTAACTGTGCATCTCTGTTACTGGATAGAGAGAGAGAGAGAGAGAGAGAGAGAGATAGAGATAGAGATCTAAAAAGGAACCGGGCAATTGAAGTGACATCGGCCAGTTTGAAATCTTTTGATATCAACTCCATTGTCCAATCCGAGATCAGGATTGGGGAAATTCATCAAATGAAACGTATGGATAAAAAATAAAAAGAAAGGAAAGGAAATGCAGAGAAACAGATGCATGTCCTAAACGCCTGAACCTCATGCTTCTGGTTACATGCGCGCGCACACGCAGAGAGAGCGAGAGAGAGATAGGGAGAGAGAGAGAGAGGAGAACCTGGTCGAGCATATCCTTGAGGGCTGGACTTTCACAAAGTATGGAACCAGAGTCCTCCATCATCGCGCCACCAATCCGAGAGAGAGAGAGAGAGAGAGAGAGAGAGAGACGCCGTCGTACGCGTACGTAAGTTCGGCGGTCTTTCGTAGAAGTAACTTACTAACTCTTCTTACTAACTTCCGTACTCGTACTACTTACTAACTTCCCGTT